TAGATTACCTTAGTATTATATTATTTCAATTTAAAAAGTGTTTTTACTCACCTGAAAAAAGAGCACAACTGCTACTATCGAAGGAAAGAATAAAATGAAACGAGCAAATTGGAATAAAGATAAATATCTGAATGAATGATAATATAAACATCTACTGATAACCAGTCTAAACAAGTCAAGACCATTTTTATGGTTACCTACTTATTAAGCGACTGTATCTCGGTAAGTCACTTGTATTCACATACACAAATTTAACCTAATGTACATGTATATGCAAATATATGTGTATATGTGTATTTGCATGTGCTCATGTACTTGTATATCTACATCTATCAGACTTTTCTATGAATCTATACAAAGATCTATATGATAAACTCAAGGTGAGAAACTATGAAGAAAATCACAAAGTTGCACAGGATAAAGCAAACACAAATGTAAGTCATTTCTATAAAAACCTTATATATATAAAATAAATGTAGCTTAATATACACACTCCAAACCACCACTCCTCCTTCCCCTTACTGATGAGCACTAAGGGAGGACACAACGTTCGTCTAGTTTCCGTCTAAGGGCACGTGCGAAACGGAAACTAGGCTACTCTTTGTTCGACCCCACATAATAAAGTAACAAAAAATTTTTCTCTCAATCATGTCAGAAAATCGAACATTATTGTATTTGTAAAAAGTATACTTCATAATCTACTACTATCCTAATTCTCCTACTCTACTACTATCCTACTATCGTAATATCGCAATCTACTACTCTCCAGCGATTTCAATCGATACGTATCTAATCTTGTCAGCGCAATCTCCTACTCTACTACTATCCCTATCTGCTATACCACAATGTCCCCGTCCCACCCCACATAACACTTGTAAGTATGGTTGCTCTGGTGTCAACGCGAGCCAGGCAACGGAATCGACGACTTCAGCGTTCTGGCGCGCCTTATCGGCCCTTATCAATCGTTATCAGTTTCTGGCACCCACCAACAATGTCCCCCGTCCCACCCCACATAATACTTGTAAGTATGGTTGCTCTGGTGTCAACGCGAGCCAGGCAACGGAATCGACGACTTTTGCGTTCTAGCGCATCTTATCAGCCATTATCAGTTGCTATCGCTTCCAATCATGTACCACCAATGTCCCGGGACCGCCCCACATAAGACTTGTAAGTATAGACGCTCTTTTACCAATATGAACGGCAAAACGAAATTGGCGATGCTCGCTTTCTAGCCCCTCTTATCAGCTATTATCAGTCGTTATCAGTTCCTATCACGTACCACTTGTGTCCCCATCCCACCCCCTATAACATATGTAAGAACCACTGCGCTATCGTTACTGTGACTCGAGCTATGAATTTCCGGTCAAACACACACACACACCAACAGACACACGCTAGCCGCTTATATAGTTGGTAGGATGATATTCTCCCTGAATACACCATGTATGTTTTTTCGATTGTCGCTACTTATTCCTAGTCCCCCGGAGTCGCGAACAATGAACGCGGCCTAAACAATTCAAAAGAACCGGAAACGGACTCTGTCATCACAAATGCTGGCGGTGAGAGCGCATCCACTGGATTTATGTAGCGCTGTATATGTAGCACTAGATAATCTTTTGACCTTATGACATATTGCATTAACATCTCACACTACCACTACATCCTACTCTACCGATCATTTTCCCTCTATTCTCCAAAATCGCGCCTCTGACCCGATTCTTTCAATGTATCGCCCGATACTTTGAAGGAATCAGGTTAGAGGTGTGGCCGCCTCAAGGCGTACTTCTCTTCAAGCCCCGCCTTTGGCACCGCGCGCCCTACCTTCCACTGTCTATAGAGTATGGTTTTTGTAAGTTGATTACTCTCCGGAAGATAAATCTCCGTGCGGAAAACTTTGTATGCTGTCTCGTCGTGTGATCACAACTTATCTTTATGTTGGGAAAGAATGCAAGAACTTTCGGGGGAAATTCCCTTGTGCTTGTACTCTTGGAATTCCCTTATCATTTCACATTTGTTTATTCTCCACCAATTAGTGCCGGCGCGCTACAGCGCGCATGAAGTGCTAGGTTCACTGCTTAACGCTGCTCGGTAAAATGCGTTAGCTGACTTCTGGAGAGCGCAAGCGGTCTACTGGTACTACGTTTTAGGCCAATGATAACAACGCAAATCAAAGAATATTAGAGTTAAATAATCATCTAAAGTGTGCTCTTGAGTGGCCTCTGAATATCTGGCGATAATCATTATTAATCGGCCTATCCGATACTTATCAACTTCGGTCCCCCCATTCGAAAATGTTTCGGTCCTAATCCTCTACATCACTTGCCTGAAAACAACGCCTTACTGCTGCTTGGGTACGGCGCCTATGTATAGAAGATATCATGGATTCGCAATGACTCATCTCGCCCTTATATCAGTCGTTATCACTTTAGGTCTCGCCACCAAAGATGTTCCCGTCCCACACGCCCCCCTCCCCAACATACTTAAAATAGAGCGCTCCACTGTTGCAGCAAAGTGCGCTATGAATTTCCGGTCAAACACACACAGACACACCAACAGACACAATTAGCCGATTGATAAGAGTAGTTTAATAGGATAAGAACCAAAGATACACATGATAGCAGATTGAGAAGGACAGCTGGACGCTTGGACTGTAGAGCGGATCTCACAAAGGATAGGGAGCAGAGAGGCATACGAGAAGCAGACATCAACGCATCGCACATCACACCCCATTTCTGAGATGTCCTAACTACGTTGTGGATGTTTTTTTGAGAGCGCAACTAACTTTCATTTCAAGCATTCCCAACAGTTTCAGTCCTGCTTTTTTCATGCGCTCTTCTATCCTTTTTACCTGAGTAAGTGTTTATTCATTACTGCGTTCGATGCTAAGTCAGATTTTTGTTTACTTGCATCGATTTCAGAATGCACGGACACAATTTGAGCAATAGAGTCCAGACGAGATTGGAAAGTTAACGAGATTCAAACGGCTCAAACTTATTACCCAGTATTTGGCCATCCTTTGGCTTATGGTCTCGCTTGCTGATTTTGAAGCTAAGCATGCTAACACCCTGGTAGCGATTGAAAAGCATCCGCATCTCTGACCGTTGATTTCCGCATTGATATGACTCTCATCAATGCTGCCCTCTTCAACGCTGATGCTTTATTCTGTGAAAGGTTAGTCGGCTAGTCTGTGGGCTTGCCACGTTGATACGCCGCAAGCAGGACCATGCATAGATTTATCTTCGCTGAAGCCGTGTGGCCCGCACCCTCAAAGGCCCGCCCACATTTTATGTAGGCAAAGTAAATTGAGGTCCATATTCCCTTTCTTTACCTCCGAATGATGCTATCCTTCAATTTTCAGCAAAAACTACTTCAATGGGTAGAACCCAGACTTTGCATCAATAATATGACGTGCGCTTCGCAAGGCCTGACAATGTGATCTGTTTGGGGTGGAACGTTTGCATGTATACGATTGCGGCACTAATCAACTAACAAAAGGTTTTCCCAGAAGTTCTCTTCTGAAGATTACTGGATAGTTCCCTAACTCGCACCATTTAATTCTTTGATGCTTTCTCAATCTCAGTAAACAAAAAATATCGGCAATCAACTGAGACCAGAACCAAATAAATTATCGATTTCTCGAATTTATCAGACGACACAAAAAACCATAAGGTCAGTTTCTTAAAGTAACAAGGTGAAAACAAACTTCAAAAACCAAAATAACAATAACAAATAGGTAGAATTAGTACTCTGTTGTAAATTCGTTAGCATCCCTCGTGTCATCGAATCTAACAAAGTGTCAAGGTAAGACTGTGGGATACTTTTCCAGGCTTACTTCAAGCTGAGAAAATTGTTTCGGCCGAATTCCTTGCTGTTTTGCCTTTTATGCGGCGCTCCAGTTCGTTCCATAAATGTTCAATCGGATTTAAATCCGGAGACTGACTTGGCCAGTCAAGAAATTGCACATGGCGTGAGTAGAACCAGTCGCGAATGGAGCCGAATGTGTGCGTTGGGTCCTTATCTTGTTCAAAAATGAATCCTCTGCCAATGGACTGGAATGCAAATGTACGCACACTTTTCGTTTGAGATATTTACGCCACTGAGCCCACTTGACACGAGCGTCACGATTCTTCTCCGAAATCAACGGCTTCTTCGCAGGACACCTTCCAACAAGTCCGGCAGCTTGTAGACGTCTCCGACGCCTAGTTCTTGTTGAAGGAGTCTGTTCGCTGCCAGCGGCCGATTTCCTTTAAATTTCGAAGGCAGTGAGCCTTGGCATTACCACGACTCAATCGAAGGATGTTCCTATCGATAACTCGTGAGGTCATATGGCTTCATCCGGAATTTATCGCTACTGCAAACGCTCCATCTGCTCAGAATTTCTTCAGAAAAAGGGAAATAGTTGCTCTAGGAGCGTCAAATTTTTTTGCTAATTTGGCTTGTTTCATTCCTCTTCAATTCCTCGTAGAACGAAGTTGCGGACACCAACTGGCATGTGGTGTGCTCGAACGTCCTAGCCATATTCTGAATACCATACATACAAAGCAGTAAAATAAAAAAAACTGGGGAAAAACGCGAAAATGCATAAAGTAAACTAAGGACCTAGAAAGCGGAAGGAGGGAATTTTCAGTTTTTCACGAGTACTAAATCTTCAGAGAAAGCTATATGAATCCGTTTGCGACAACAGGTTTCTAATTATAAACGACAAAATTCTATTAGCAAATGGTTTTCTGAAGAAATTCTCAGAAAACCATTAGCTAATGGAATTTTGGCCACCACTGTCCATACTATATGCACGCATACAATTTAACCCAAGCTGCAATATTGATTAGTCTAGCTAGTGCTGTCAGCCTACCAGCTGAATAGATTTTCATCAATGTGCTGAGTATGCGGCCTCTTTTATAAGTGATGAGAGCTAGTAAAAGAGAAATCCGACAAAAAAAAACAAATACCGAACAATAAATAAAAAAACATTTGGCTTCCTAAGGATGTCCACCTGTGTTATCATAGCTTGAAGGATTCAACCTACACGTCCTTTTCGACCTCTGTTACTCTTGAAACACTTTTGGAAATCTTTATTCATCCTGCTATTCGTTCATACACCTGAGGCCTGAAAAGGATCACAAGTTTGGTGTGACTATAATGCAGAAGTGGTAGATATTGTACCTGAACTTGCTCAACTCCCACAGCAGGGACCAAAGAAGCAGTCTCATTTTTTTCATTCATCCTCAGCTCTGACATGGACAATTCACTAAACTATAAACGGTTTTCCCAATTGCATATTGAAAAGCACAAAATAAATAAAATGCTCAGCACAAACCGAAGCCTGCCCAGATTTTGCCCAGAAACACTGTGCCCTGACTGTACAGCCTCCACGACTACAGCAATCATTCCGACCATAAATCATCTGCAATAGTTGTTTCGAAAAGTAGGTCGAGGAACTGCGTGATCAGATTCATAAGTCGCTTGCAAACTTGCTTACCATGTTGATTTGATCGAGAAATTCACGCAGCAGGTTAAGGCTGAAGCAACCTAAATTGGCCTCTCTGAAATAGTCGGCTTATATTGTAGAGATGAGATTACCAGGCTAATGGACATTTGCTCCTGCATCGAGGCATTTGCTGCTGTGAAACTTCCATCCGAATCGGGTTCCTTGTGAAGCGTAAAATGAGGTTAATGCGTCAAGAGCGCAGGAGCATTTCGCCTGTGACAGTACAATGGCCGCTATTCACATTATTTCATCATCGTGGCGGTACGAAATCATCCCGACCTCAAATTTGTTTTAAAGTTACATTCCGCGATAGCAAGAGAAACAGGATAATGGTTTTCAATGAAAACCTCAATGCTTACTGACCTGCCAGTGGAGCAGAAAGAAAAGAAACCACCGAATGCCCCCTGTCGCCCGGCCCGGGCGCCTTCTTCCCCGCCATACCCATAAACATCGGGGTTCACAATGCGAAGGAGCGGCGCCAGGGTCGGCGTGAGAGCTTGCAATCAGGGACTTATGCTGCGCTCGCTGCTCGCCACTTCGCCACGCAGGTTTGCTTAGGTAGGCCCTAACAGCGCCCTCCGACGAATAAGACTTGTTGTAGGTTTACCTTGCCTACGAATACGCCTAATGACTTTATCTTTTTGGGTCCCATGGCCCACAATGATTTCTCTGGTCCGGCCTACGGGCATCGTTTGTGAATTACACTTCTAGAACATGTAGTAGGCATATGCTGCGGTGCAAACCCGCTGAAGGGTATTGAAACACGACATAAGAAATAAAAGGCACCATAGATTCATACTGAAACTACGAAAGATCTTACGAATTGAGCAAATACAGAAACAGTACGATCGATACGGAACAGAAACCACTGCTCACGTGATCGAACCCATGCGCTATCCCTACGGGGGTGACGTGGATGCAATCTCGCTTATCGTGCCAGGCGGACCAAGTGGAGAAGGGATGCATTGGCGGAACTCGCGAGTCACGGCAAAGCGTGGGAATCCAGTGGTGCCCACAACACCTCTGAAATGGGAAGATGCGT